GTGCAAAAAAAATCTATAAAATGGGATCTTGTAGGCGTGGCGCTGGGATTTCAGCCGTGGCGGGCCGCCACGGCTACGTCTATATAAGGGAAACACTGTACCAACAGTAAAACTGAAGACATCACTTTGAAGCTGACAAAAAACCTACTAAATTTGAGAAAATTATTAGTGCACTATGTAATGATAATAGAGAGTAAATTGCTTGAAAAGCTATTTATATTATTACCACCACTTGTGACCAATAGCTGTGATACTTTATATAAATAGAATATCCCCTGCTTGGTCTTAGGATGATTAATTAGAAGATCCTAGGATTCTTTTAATTATTAAGGAATCGTTCACACTTCGCTTTGATTCAAGAAACAGTCGGGTTTATAAACAAAGTAAGAATTTATTTACAAACCATTAAGACTTGACAAATTGTTTAAACTATTATTTACTGTGAGTGGATGCGAACTAAAGGATAGTCTGGAACCTTTGAGTGAATATATTGTATTCAGAATCTCCTTTCTCAGAGCTGAGTTCTGGATGGAAAGAATTTGGTTTGCAAATAAACAATAAAGATGTTATTATCAGAACCACATTCAGACGCTATCAGTGTTTCTACATTACCCGGATTATGAGACCCTCTTGGTGGATCCGAAAGTGAGAGGTCGGATGCTCGCTGGCACCGGAGGGCTGTAGAGGACCGAGGTGCTGGTTCTTTCAGTCCGGAGATGTCTCTCGGGTCACGACAGATGGATGAAACTGAGCGTCTTAAAAATAACTCTGAAGGAGTTTGGAGTCAGCTTTGTTCTGCAGGAAAACAATCTTGTTGTTCAGCTTTGCAGGTGCGAAAAAGGTTTAAGGTTTTGACGACGTGTCAAAATCTTTATGGTTAGAGAGGAGCTAAAGATGACCGGTCTGAAGCTCGCTCTAGAACTGACTAATTACCCAAAGCCATCTAGTTTTAAAGAATTGATATTATGGTTTGGCCAGCTAATCAGGGGCTGACAAGTTTGAGAGATGTTACCAAGCATCGCAGAGACACACCCTCTGTGATGGAGACTCTGAATGTGGGCGAAAGGTTAACTTATGTCATGCATTAACTTAACTTTACTTGACCTCGTCAATAAACATACTAAAACAATCATTGAGCACAGATTAATGAACATTTCATTATTTATAATTATAAATGGCAGTATTTAATGATTATCTTTAATTATAAAATCTTCTTTCTTCTTCTTGGAATAAAGGAGTTTCTTTTAAAAGAGTTCCTCCTTGGAGGAGAAAATGTTTATTGTTTATCATTTATTATCTCTGCAGTCCAGCTGGTGTGTGGAAGTAAGCTCTGATTAAAGGGGCTACATGCAGACTCTCCGACTCCTGTCTGGGGAAAATACAGTAAGATGTGTCATAGCCAGGGTAAGTTGACCTGGCTGTGCATTTGACCTGTGGGATCTCAAAATCAGGTCATTTCATGGCGTTACAACTATAAAAGATGTGGTCGGTGGAAATTTGTGTTTCAAGATTTCATATATCATGCATTTAACAGAGCTCAGCTGCTCAGATGTCATTTCAGACCTCTGAAACGTCTCCTCGCCATTCAAAAACTGCTGCACCTAATGGAAAAATTCAAAAAGCGTGAGCGGCAGAAGGCTTTGATGGTCATCTGTGTGAATTTTTATGTGCCTACCATGAATTGTCTAGAAGGTATGATGAGAAAATTTTAGCTGTCTGAAGCCGATCGGAGGAGAAAATTTCTCTTCCTTTAACATGGGTTTCAATGGGACAGAATCGGGGTCTCTCCTCCTTCTGAGGCTTGTAGCGAAAGAAATGTAACACTTAAAAGGACTTTACGGAGTTTTGAAATTTTATGCTCACGATGGCCCCCTCAGGCCAAAAGTGTAACGGCAGCTTCAATAGTAGGCTCGTGCACGAGGCGCGCATGCTGTACGTGCACGCTCCTTAACGAAAATAACAGCTGAGACAGTCCTGTGTGTGTGTGTGTGTGTGTGTGTGTGTGCGTGTGTGCGTGCGTGTGTGCGTGTGCGTTTGTGTGTGGCCCGGAGAACAGAGGACAGGAGAACGCGCAGCTAATTAATTAAATAATTTGGTTCTGTACCTTTCTCTTCAGCACAGCCGACAAAGGTTTATGATGGGTCTGTCCTCCTACACGCTCAGATCATTCCCTTCCCTTGCTTGAAAAATTGTTCCAAACTGAAAGTTGAGCCCACATCTTTTTTATCTGTGAATTCAATGCCGTTCGGCGAGTCTCAAATAAAAATTTGGGCATCTTACTGTAAAAAAAATATACCATTGATGTAAAAAAGAAACTCTAAATAAATTATGTTCACATCCAGAATCGAACCCGGGTCTTCCACACGAGAGTCCGCCGTCTTGCTGGGTGAGCTAATGCACCAGTTACGTTTATTGTATCTGTAGCTTTTATATCCTTGATGACAGCTGAAACAACGTTCAAAGAACGGTTCGGAGCGAAAATGGCTATTTTTTTTGCTAATTTGCAGGAAATATCTAGAAGAAAGTAGCTAAGGGTCCTCAGAAATGTAGCTAGGTTCATCACTAAACGTTAGGAACAGCGACAAAGTCGCTGAGTTGGCACTACCTCTCTCTCTGCTGCTAAAGCTACTGATAGCAAATGCTACGGGCTATGCATGAACGTGCATGAAGCAGCCTGCTCGACCCGAGCAGCTCTCTTTTTCTGTGATTTTACAGAAAAACAGGCAATCACAGTAAAAATGCCAGGGCTCATTCTACAGGACCAGGGCATTGCAAGTTTTGGCTGTCAAACTTCCATAATGCCCCTTTAAGGACAAAATGAAACCCTTTCTGAAAAGCTGACAAAAATTCATACTTTTTGAGATATAATTTGTTTCGGTACTCCAAACGGTCTGGGTGTTGCAAAGAGTTGTTTCCAGAAAATGTGAAGGTCAAAATTTAGAGTGTGGAGTTTTCAGTTTAGAGTGGTGAGAGACACTTTTTTTAATTTTGAATATTCTCAAAGAAATGAACAAAACGACCACAATGTTTGGAATACATTCGTGATTTATAGCTCAAAACGAAGGTATATCCGTTAGCTGCAAGCCAGCATGCGTCTCATTTCAGTCGGACTTACGGTTTTCTCAGGACAATGCCAGAAATGGAGCAAAGGAGGGTCATTGCTCCTATCTCTGCACATTATAATTTTTGTGATTTTTTTCTGAAAATCTCAAGCCGTACCTCAACTTCTACCTGTGATTTTAGAAAAACTGTAATAGATATGTAAAAGATTTTTTAACCATTAATAGCTGAACGTCTTGTGAGTTTGTTGAAACTTGAATGAAGCCTCTAGGTTAAAGTTAACCTATAAGAGTAAGAGTTCAAAAAAGTGATATGATTGAGCTGAAAACTGAGCAATCCCATTCATTTTAGTGGGACCAAAAATCGCAGGAAAAGCTGAATATCTCAATAAGTATAAAATATTTTAATACCAAAAGTCATTGCCGACATAAGTTGAATGAGCTGAACGTTTTGATACCAAAATTGAAGAATTGTGGAAGTAGTTAAATGCCAAAAAAAAACGTACGGAAGAATAATAATAAACTGTATAACTAACTATAAAGAGAAACAGGATCACTAACTGTAAAGCATTCAAACAATTTACTTTATCACAATATGCTAACTTTTTTGAGAAGGACCTGTACATCCTTTTTCTAAATAAAGTACTTCTATCTGCTCTTGACTCAAAGAAAGCCCAAGTTGAAATAGTCCAAAGTTGATGCTAAAGCCATTTCAAGCGAACTGTTGCCATCTTTGTATTGGTAACATCCCACCAACCAACAGAGTGCTGTGATCGGACCACTAAGGAGCTGTGGCCATCTTGTTTTTTCTCAGTCGCATCATCCCACCCACAAGGCTGATAGAGCGCTGTGATTGGATTACTACGGATGTCGCTCAACAAGACGGTCCGCCATTACATTGTGGAAGAACTACATAAAACAATACATAGTTTTTCTAAATAAACGCAATGTGATTGGCCAGTCACAGTACTGTCTGGAGCTGCGAGGTTCTGATGGAGTTTAGTGGTTAGCTAACTGTATGCTAAGCCCTGATTTGAATCTGAATCATTTTATTGCCAAGTAAGTGAGAGTTTCACGTTAGCAGAAGTTTGCATGAGTAAAATGGTGCACACATACTAATTTAGGAAAGTTGATTAATAAGATAAGAAAACATGCATTTCTTAGCTCAAAATAAACATGATAGTTTGGGGCGCCCACAACTTTTCACCTTGTAAATCACTTTTACAGTGAAGAGCAAAGGATCAGCAGGCGTGTGTGTTTGTGTGTGTGTGTTGCTGCCGAGGGACGCGCAAAAAGTATGTTGCCTTAGAGGGGGCATGATGGAAAATAATTGGGAACCACTGTCCTACAGCAATTATAACACTCCTTCCCTGGATTGTCTTCTGTTATCCAACCTGTTAACCATCTTTGTTAATATTGTTAAGTCATTCAGTGACAAAGTTGTTTTGAATCGCTTCTGGCATAGGCTGGACTCTGAAGCTATTCCAGAAGCTTCATCATACAGTCTTCTATCTCTGTGACTATTTGTCAGTTTGGATGATTGACACCTCTTTGGGATCAGTAGGTCCAACAGAATGAAGCGTTACTCATCAAAATGAGATTGACAGTACCATTGGCCAATCATACTCGTCAAAACATGGATATGCACGAACAAAGAACTGGGCCAGCTGTTGGGGATTTTCTCTGTTTAGTCTGGAGCTCTGCACAACACAGTGATGCCACCAACTCCCCTAAGTCTCCATGCACCGGTGTTATGTTGGAGGGATTTCTGATCACTCTTTAGATTGTAGTTTAAGTTGTTTGGAGCACATAAAAAGGTTGTGTGTGGCCTTGTAGCCGAGGTTCTGCAGCTTCTTTAGACTTTAGATATTTATTGATGTTTTGGGCATGAATTTTGCTGCTAAACCTTAAAGTGTTAACAGGCCTGATGTTTGTCTGCAGATCCAGGCCCAGACCGTGACTCTGACCCAAGCAGCCACATCAGCTCCCGCTCAGGTTCAGATGATTCCTGCAGGGACGGCCACAGCCCAGGTGGTACAACAGAAGATCCTCCAGCAGCAAGTGGTGGCAGCTGCCCCCTCCCCTCAGATCCAAACACCACCTCCTCACAGCCCCGCCCAGCAGCCGGCTGCCCCCTCTGCTGCAGAGTCTCCGGTACAGCAGCCTGCCCCGACCCAACAACCTAACAAGAATCAAGCTCGCCAAGGAGGCGTCAGAGCTAAAGCTCCTGCCAAGCCCAGTGGGGGGAGCAGTTAGGAGCCCTCACTAGTGCGCCCCAAGTGTCACCTCCTCCTTTCTAACCCCCTTTCTGCTGGTTTCAGTGATAAGTAGAGCTCCATCAGTATGACTGGTGAGATCAGTAACCACCCCTTACCAACAGAGTTCTGACCCAGTTTGTTTCTGAACATGGTAACTTTAACATAAACCTGTTGATTATATGATGTAACAAATACCTGAAGACTGAGTCGTTCTGTATTTGGGAATGAGCTGTCCATCAGTGTAAGTGTATTCATAAATCGTCCCTTTTTATGTCTCATTCTGTTGTTGTTGTTGTTTAGGTAATTGTGTGAAGAGTAATGCACGTTCCTTTGATTTCAGTAAATACACTGTAAACATGTACTTTAGAGTTTTGTTTTCTCATAAATCTTTTTTTATTGATGTCAAAAGGAAACAACTGTAAATATCTACAAAAACATTTGTACTTGTAAAGTAGTTGTGTTTTCATTGGATTTTTCAGACTAATTGTAATAAAGTGTTTTGTTTTTATACACAAATTCATCTTTTCTTTTCATTAAAGTGTTGTAAGTATTTTGAAATCTGAAAATCCTGTCTTTTATTTCAAAACCGTGTGAATATAAAGTTTGTGATTTTTCCATGATTTTCTTAACTTTTTGTGGACAGTCTAAGATCTTAAAAACATATGGACTGCTTTTAGAGAAATTAGTAAAAGTCAGAAGCAGTTTTGTGTTTGCCCACAAGGGGTTGCAGTTTCCACACCGCTCCTCTTTTCTGATACTCATGAATTTTCCAGCTCACTTTAAATTCCCTGTCTGCTCCTCAGTGGACACCCTGGTCTCTGCTCTCCGCTGACACGCGGTGGACGGTCCACTCTGGACTACGAGTAAGACGAGGGAGGTGAGGCGGTAGAGAAGGCTCAGATGTGTGGGTGGGCCAAGCTGATACTTTTAGCCAAGATGGCACTCTGCTCTGCAGCTAATCACAACCACTCATTCACACACAGAAAAATTATCTCATTTGTGCACAAACTCTTTAATGCTCCACCACAGCTGTGAAAACGTGTTAAACCAAGCAGCTGTAAAGATTTAGTGTCCTGTCATGGACATCAGGCCAGAGGAGGGACGATGGTTGTATTGGTAGGAGGATGCTGAGGTCGGAGCCACCAGGCAGGAGGTTGATGTTAAGGCCAAAAAGGAGATTTATGGATGTGGTGAGACAGGACATGAAGTTGGTTGGTGTGAGAGTGGAGGACGCAGACAAAAAGACTAAATGGAGGCGTGATTTAGTGTGGAGACCCTGAAGGGACAAGCCAAGAGAGAAACCTCTGGTCAGGAGTGAGTGTGTGTTCTAAATAGAAAGCTGTTGAAAGTTTCATGTCTTAACTTTATTCAAATTAGTGTATCAGGTAAGGATGGAGCGAGCAGCACAGTTCACACACACACACCTGTGTCAACAAATACATGGAGGACATTCGTGCTTTGATGTTAAACCAGTAGAACTGAGTGAGTATGTTGGGGGGGACACAAGCCTCCCACCATGTGAGTGTTGACCCAATAGGGCCTTTACAGCCTCTGGAAGGTGTCAGATGTTGACGTTTCTGTGTTTTTCTGTATTTGAACAGCCCCAAAGCATGTCAGAGGATCTGTTTGAACAACAGCTTCTGGCAGCGAGGATGATACAATCGTTACAGTGGAGGGATTATTGTTGTTGCCTAAGAGACCAGCTCCTCGGCTCACCCTTATTGCTCTCAGCAGGTGATGAAGGCCAGCTCGGACATCGATCACACGGCCTCAGGGCCTCCCTCGCTAATGATGCCAATGATCACTGCTACTTGAAAACCAAAAAAAAAGAAAGAAAAGGTTGCCATGGTAACCAACAGTGACCACCTTTACTGAATATCACAAGACTGTGGCTCAAACAGATTTTATCCCATGTTGTCTAAACTCTGCTGTAGTGCCTTTAAGCAACAGATCTTTGGGGAGTTGCTGGTTGAACAAAGCCTTCCAGCAACTTACGGATAACAGTGTAAAGAGGAACCCACAGCAACAAGTAGTGAGATTTTTTCTGTGATGTTCTGCGCCTTGGCTCAGTTAAGCCATCTTTCTACAGGCTGGAAGGTGGCTGAGGCCTCCTGCTCCAAGTGATGAGTCACAGGTCTGCTGGGTGGGGTGGGGGTTGTTCCAGTGGTAATTGCTCTGCATGCTAGATGGGGTGAGAGCACCGGAGCTGACGCGCTCCACTTCCCTTGACGCAGAGATAGGAAGTGTCATTTGGCACTTTGAGAACCTACCATGGAGATCTACAGTCGAAGTCCGCCACTCGCCCTCCCACTCACTTTAGCTCTCGTCCACTCTTTCCAGTCCTTTCTCTCAAGCTTCTTGTCTGATCTTGCCTGTTGAGTGTGACAGCGGTGTAAGCTGGGAACCCCAGAGGCCTTCTCTGTGGCTCTGCTCTCCCTGTCAGCAACACACACGTTTCCTCGGCCTGTTCTGGAAACATTTAGGAACACATGTAGAGAAACGTCTCCAACGCTGGGCTGGGACTGGGCCTTGATGCATGTCTGAATGGTGATGTGAATAAACATACAGCTCTTAGGGGGGGTACACTGGCAACAAACAGACCAAAATAAGAATAACTTTATTGTCAATTAGGTTTCTATAGAAAAATACCAAAATCCATCCATAAATTTTCATCCACTTACCCGGAGTCGGGTCGTGGGGGCAGTAGCCTAAGCAGGGAGGCCCAGACTTCCCTCTCCCCAGCCACTTGGGCAAGATCGTCAGGGAGAATCCCAAAGTGTTTTTCTGGCCAGCCATGAGACATATTCCCTCTAGGGTGTCCTGGGTTTTTCTTTATGTCTTGTCCAGGTTGGACGTGCCTGGAAAACCTCACTATGCCCAAGCCACCTCTCGACGTGGAGGAGCAGCGGTTCTACTCCGAGCCCGTCCCAGATGACTGAGCTTCTCACCTTATCTCTAAGGGAGAGCCCAGACACCCTGCGGAGAAAACTATTTTCAGCCGCTTGTATCCGGGATCTCGTTCTTTCGGTCACTACAAAGCTCGTGACCATAGGTGAGGGTAGGAACGTAGATCAACTGGTAAATCGAGAGCTTCGCCTTCTGACTCAGCTCTCTCTTCACCACGACAGACTGGTACAACACCTGCATCACTGCAGATGCAGCGCCAATCTGCCTGTCGATCTCATGTTCCATCTTTCCCTCACTCATGAACAAGACTTCGAGATACTCAAACTCCACCACTTGAGGCAGGACCTCATCCCTGACCCAGAGAAGGCATTCAACCCTTTTCCGAATCAAGACCATGGTTTCGGATTTAGAGGATCAGATTCTCATCCCAGTTGCTTCACACTCGGCTGCGAACTGCTCCAGTGAGAGCCGGAGATCACGTTCTCGTGAAGCCAACAGGATCACATCATCTGCAAAAAGCAGAGACTTGATCAATAGGCCACCAAAACAGATCCCCTCAACACATTTGCTGCCACTAGAAATCCTGTCCATAAAAGTTATGAACAGAATTTATACCAAAGGGCAGCCAACTCATTGGCAACGAGCCCGACTTACTGCTGGTCAATGCAGACCAAGCTCTGACACCAGTCATATAGACAGATGATATCAAAGGGGCTGGTACCCCATATTCCCAAAGTACCCCCCACAGGGCCCCCAGAGGGACACGGTCATACACCTTCTCCAAATCCACAAAACACATGTAGATTAGTTGGGCAAACTCCCACGCACCCTCCAGCACCCCCCTAAGGGTACTGTAACGGAATGGAATGACTGCTGCATTTTCCTGCTGTCATCTTGAATGTAAATGCATGTTTGAATATGTTTTTCGAGTGATTCGTGACACTGTGTAATAACATGTGTAGGGAGATAGAGATGTCCACCGGGAGTTCGCTTCCAGATTGCCGATTGACCACGGTAATCAGCCCATTGAGCTGCTTCGCACTAGCTGCTGACAATATAAGCTTTTAAAACGGAAGAGCGTCGCTGCACCACGAAGTGCATAAGCTATTAGGCATACGAATGCTCACGAATGTTCGATTATTCGCATCGACAGTTCTACTGCAGAATTGGACAAAATGGCCTGATTCAGCTGACAGGGCCCGCTAGCTTAGTGCCAGCTGTTAAGTTTAGCTCTTGATTCAGCAAAAACGGAGTAGCTACCCGTGGCTGAAAATTGATCGACACAGCGCTCCAGTGTCGTCAAAATCCGCTACCCACAAAGGGATAAAAATTTGCTTTGTTCGAGTTGATTTGGGTCAGCTCGCAGCTGCTGGTGCAAAGATTTTTCTCACCAAAGGTCAGTGGTGCAGGTCACAGGTTCAGTTTGTTGGCCTCCTTGTGGGACGACAGGGAGTGCAGCCTCAACTTGGCAGAATTCAAGGTGTGGCCACCATCACACCTTGCAGAGGTCACCACTGGCCACTAGGGTGTGCTGTGATCAAGCCTAGAGTGAAAAAGGTGTATTCAGGGATGTGCCTGAAGTCACGTACAGGTGACTACTGTATACTGTAGTTTGGTTAACTCAGGCAAAGAAACAGGAGCAAAGCTATTAAGGATGATGGGCCTGGTTGGAGTCGGGAGAGGCGGCGATAAGGCTGAAGGAGAGATGCTAGATCTAACCTTATTGACTTTGTCCACAAAGAAAGACAGAAAGTTCTCACAGTCTGCAACAGAGTGGATGGAGGCTGTAGGAGAGGCAGGAGAGACGATGCTGCTGATGGTGTTAAACAGCACCTTGGGGTTCCCTTTGCTCTGGGACACCAGGTTGGAAAAATAGGAAACCCTTGCGTCTCTGACTGCAGAGTTAAAGGATGACAGAAGATCTTTTAGGTGCAGCAGATGGACGTGGAGATGGATTTTATTCCACAAACGCTCAATTTTTCTGCATTGGCGCTTCAGGCTGCGAAGGCTGTCAGTAAACCAGGGAGTAGGGTTCACTGCAGGAACTGATCTGGTTCTGACAGGACAGATGTTGCCCAGAATTGAGAGGCAGTGCTCGTTAAACTGAGAAGTTAAGGAATCTGGGTCGTTATCAGAAGAACAGGGTGGATCAAAAGCAGCAGAAAAATTTCTAGCTCCGGGGAAAGGCCTCAGTCTGAGCTTCGGCCTCGCCTGAAACCTGTTCCGCGATTTTAAGTCTCTCAACTTAGACCATTAGTTGTAGTGTTTGTGCATTCTTTTTGGATATTATTTGTGCAATTGTTGGACAAAATGACTTGCTGTGGCATTAATTGCACTAATAGAGCGTCCAAGGGGTCTCCACTTCATTTTTTTCGGTAAGTAAAATTATATTTATGTATTTTAGGTCACTGCCGAGCTGAGCTTAGATTTTAACATGTACTGTTTAACCATGAAATTTAAATGTAATAGGGTAAAACCCAGCGCATTTAACAATGTTGCATTTTTGAAAATGGGTTGAAATATAACATGTTGGTGGAGCTGGGTTCCGACTATCGGTATGGTCTCCCTCCCCTCAGCGGCAGCTCTGCGCATCTCTGATCGCAGCGGCGCCTGTCTGCTGCGCAGGCTGCCAGCTTATGGAGCTCAAGAGA